ACCAGCCTTTGGAGAGAGGAAGAGGAGGATAGACACACATGTCCATGTGGCAAATCGGAGGAGAGTAGACCCCACATAGTTGGGGAGTGTGAGTTGTACAGGAAGGAAAGAGAGGATCTCGAGGAGGAAATGAGACAGAGAGGGTGTGACATGGACAAGTTTGGTAAATTAGACAACAGCGAAAAAACGATCGCGATAATTGGGGATAGATGGTGGGCACAAGAGGCCCTAGAGGACGGGGATAAGATGTGCAAGAAATTTTTATGGAGTTTGTGGCAGAAACGTAAAGAGCTCCCAAATGTTGGTGGTGTCTCTAGTAGGTGTAGGAACGGTGCTCCGTCTCGAAAGGGACGCGTGGTCAATGGTCAAATGACTACGGCAAGCAACAAATGAGTACGCCCCCCCCCCCCCCCCCCGAACAAAGAAAAGGCTTGCCAGCTTCCGATGCCCGTGTTCGCGCCACGCTTGCGCAAGCCGCCCCACTAACTCCGACAGCGCACACGCAGGTTTCCTACGCTGCGATGGCGTTAGCGGTGGCGGCGGCGACGGCCGGTGTCGGGGAGGCGTTTGTTGCCGCTCCGGTGGCAAGGACGGGCCCGCCGGCGTCTTCTTCGAGCTGGGCCTCCTGCCGGGCGGCGTCTCGAGGGGGGGGACGGGGAGCGGGGTGAGACATTTCGTCCGCATTTTTGGCTGTCGTCAGTGGGATTTCTCTTTGTCGCGGCAGGCTAAGGTTTGGGGGGGGGATTGGGTCTCCATTTTCTTGTTTTCGTGGTCTCTGTCTTTGCCATGCTTGTGCCATGGCAGATCACTACAGGTTGTGCCGTGAGGGGGGGGGGAGGATTCTCAAGTCTTGCATGCCTTGGTTGTTAGACCATTGACCACGCGGTGCGGCGTAATGCCTGGCCTACCCTTTGCCTCCTTCGTGCTGCTGCCATTCTTGTCGACAGAGTCAGCATGATCGTAGGGGCGGAGGCCCAAGTGGCAGACACGACCAACCTTCTCTTCGCGCAGATGGCAGGTAGGTATGGTGGCAAAAGCCACTAGGGGGCAAAAAGCAAGAGATTGGATTTGGACAGTAGTCAACCAGCACATGTTGGTGTTTGTGGGGGTTTCGTGGAGAGGGGGAACAGGTGGTGAGTTGGGGGGTATAGTGTTGTTTTTCAGCCGAAAATGAAAGCTGTACAAAGCCGGTGAGATACGGTGGCACAAATGGAATATCCGGGTTGTCTCATACTCTTGAGTACGGCCGGGTGCCCGGTATAAGACTGGTAACATCCCTTGGCACTGCTGGTATGAGGACGTTGGCGGAGATCGCAAGTGCTGTACCAATGGAATGAGGGAAGTTTTCGGAGTTGTTCCAAAGCAACTCCGCGAACGAACCGTGCGCACGCCCATTCCGTGGAAAACCGGTATGATATCACGGAACTTGTGCATACCGGGTGTGATCCCACGGAATACGCCTTTACCGGTTGTGGCATCACGGAACATGTCTTTGTTTTCCGGAATCTTCTCCGGCAGGGTGCACGGGGCTGATCAGCGCAGGGTACAAGATTACGTGGGATAAAGGGGAGGAGGCAGAGGAGGGAGAGGATGGCGAAGAGCGAGAGGTGGGATGAAGCTTTTTGGCCACTGGGGGGGGTGGAGGGATGTAAAAAAGTATTCCTGGGCGGCCAGTAGTGTTTTGAAGGACTCAATATTGCAGTTTGAGACATGTGGCGACGAGAAGAGGTGGAGCTTTTTTTGTGCACGAGTTTTTTGTTTTGTTTCTCCGGTGCAAGACTCGTTCAACGGTGGCGTTCTTCCAGAACGGGTCTTTATCCTGCTCAACAACTTGCAGCAGCAATTGCCGAGGCTTAGCAATGACAACAGTAGACGCAGCTGGGCGATCGCCGCTGATACTGTTGATGTTTCATGGAACGTGTGTGCACGACTGACGGTCAGAGCTATCACGAATCTTCGCGGTACAAAGACGGCACTGAAACCAGCGGAATACCACAAACAATTATTTGTATGTTGCTCAGGTGGCACGTTCGCAGAACCATGGGCGGATGACAACCAACCCAACAGGATCACCACCAACAACAACAACCACGTTGTATCAGTTGACCCACTTTGCGGCGCCCATTCCCTGCATGCCTTCCCGCTGCGCAGGTTGACATTTTCAGGGATACCGCGCTGCGCTACATGGGGTACGCCAACGAAGTTGGAGAGGCCTTCAGGTGAGCTCCGACGACGCTGGTTCAAGGTGTTTGTGTCCTCACCGATGGTGGCCGCACACACATCATTACCGTTGAAGAGGCGCCCTGGTGAGCGATGTCGTCGCTGGTTTGGCACAATTCTGTCCTCACTAGTGGTGATGATACCACATGGTCGTATTGAGGAAGATGGGGGGTGGGGCGATATGGTGGCAAGCCAACGGAGCCCCCCACCCAACAGTAATTCTCGACGAGAGAGGCCCTGAGCAGCCGCGCCGTAGCGTATTTTTCTCGAGCACCGTGTGCTTCTACTTGGCTGTTTTGTTGAGTGTGTTTGTTACGGTCCGTATTCCGCCGTGAAGATCCCCGTTCGGGTACGCTGGATGACGCGTACTGCGAGTGTGCCTCTCGGACATCAAAGTTTATCTTTTGTGGCACAGGGGATGAACGAGGCGGTTTTTTTTTAAACGTTGGTGAGGAGCTCACGACAAGATTTGTTCCCCACGGTGGGGGGCGTGAACTACGAGGAACTTTGCAGTATTCATTAACTTGGTGGCAGAGAGTCGTTCTTGAAAGAATTCGTAAAGAAGCTGATGAGAGATTTCGACATGCTGGAAACGACACAAGAGACTGAAGTTCCAGCAGTGCCCCACGTCCACACCTCCCCTCGTCTGTCGCCGCTTACCCCGTACCCCCCGCTGCCGCTGCAGGCCGCTGATCCCGGCGTTTGCGGTGGTGGCTTCTTACGGTGTCGCCATCGCTTACGTTTCGGCGGACGCCGTCTCAAAGGGATTCAAGTGCGCCAAGGAGAGCGATTCCAAGTGAGACAAGGATAAACTCAAACGAACAAGCGTCGGGTTTTGCTGGAGAGACGGGGGAGGGGGGATCATCCATGCTGTTAATGGATGGTTACGGGCTTGCTGGAGAGAAGGGGGGGGTGGAGGGAGGGGAGGATAGGGTCACCCATTCGCCATCTGGGCAGCTTCCTGATTGTGAAAATCACCGTCTTCTCTTTCCCAAGCTTTTCAGCGAATCAGAGCATGCCACATCGCGCCGTCGCCCCGTTCTCGGAGGCGTGTGTTGATGACCTATCCACGCCACACAGAAGATTCGTTACATCTACGCTATACCCCTGTTGCAACCCCCCTCCCCGCTCTTTCGAGTCTTGTACTTGTTTTTCTGGGGATGCGGTCCCTCTGTGCATGTTCGAGGCGACCGATGTGATTGATTGTAGTTCCCAGATGCCGTCGATTCAGCGCCTGCTGGGTCATGCTGGCCGTCCCTCCATGTACACGGAGGCCTCGACCCCCCCCCCCCCCCTCTCCCCCCAAAACAAAAAAAACATTTCACCAATACCCCATACACCCAAACACCCCTCCCGTGAAACCCCCCTGTGGTTCAAGCCCTCCTAC